TTGGATAGATGGGCAAGGGCGCTGGTCCATCGATGGCAACCTGGGGATTGTTTTCTAAGCGCAACACGGCGCAGGGAAAGGCTCGCTGGCCCGAGGGCAAGGCCTATGTTGAAACCTGGCGTGTTGCAAAGAGGGGCCAGTGGAACTATACTCCTACTGCTGCTACTGTTACTACTGCTACTACTACTACTACTACTGTTTCTACTACTACTACTACTACTACTACTGCTACTTCTACTGCTACTGCTACTGCCACTGCTAGTGCTACTGCTACTGCTACTAGTACTACTACTACCACCGCCACCTACTACTACTACTACTACTGCTTCTACTGCTACTACTACCACTACTACTACAACACCTTTATTCCTACTGCTACCCACCTACCCTGCCACGTGCTACTTGCTGCCTGCTACTGACACTGCCACTGGTACTGCCACTGGTGCCGCTGCTGCTTCTGCTACTGCGATTGCTAATGCGATTGCTACTGCAATTGCTATTGCTGCTACTACTGCTACTGCTGCTGCTGCTACTTCTGCTACTGCTACCATTACAACTACGTCTACTTCTACTTCTTCTTCTTCTTTTTCTACCACTTCTCCTTCTACAGCTTCTACCACCTCTACTTTCTTGCTTCTACTTTACTTGCACTGTAGCTCGACTTCTACTTCGACCTCTGCTGCTGACACATCGCGTAATCCCACGCACAGGCACTTCTCAAAAATTGTGTTCTGCGTAGCGCCCGCGTAGGGGAGAGAAAGCTGTGTAGCTTCCGCGTACGTGGCTTTAGCGTTCCACACAATGGAAAGAAACACGGCTCAATGGTCGCTTAGATCCTGCCAACACAACAAGTCTGCCAATATTACTGATCCTGCACAGTGGGGGGGGCTACATCCGGAAGTGGCGGTTGGAGTTCTATCTCTTGGAATAGGTCGGAGCTAACCTCACTGTCCCAACCCTGTGATGCAACAATTTTGCAGGGTCTACTCGGGCGTTTTCACTTCCTCCTGTGTGCTTTCCGCACCCACCCTACACCTACGCTGAACCAGCTTGAAACTAATTTTGAACTGGCAGTGAACCCTCTACCCAAAAACCTCAGCCTAAGCAACCCAGAAAACCCAGCCATAGACCCACCCCAACCAGCCCTTGATCTTTAGGCTTCCAAGTGCGACAGTCGCGGCTGTGAGGCTCGTGAGGACGATCCAGAGAATGAGGAGGCGTCTCAAATGAACTGCGTCCCATCCAAGTGGTTGGCATCCTTTTAGTCCTTGAAATAATTGAGTTTGAGAGAGGGCTCCGCATTTAGACGCCAAATTTCGACAGCTTCCTGTGACGCCAGGCTCAACTCCTTCTGGGCGCGGACTGATATGGTGTGACCAGGACTCCGAGCAAAAAATTGGCAAGGAACCCGATCTCATTGCGTTTGCTCTTCCCCGTTTTCCTTCACGACGATTTCCGCACACAAATGCAGTGCTCCCAAAGTTGGCGCTTGCGGGAAGTCGCGAAGAAGGTCTTACCGAGCAAATGCCAAGACAGCAAAAAGTTGGGAAGTCAGCTTGGATTCTGTGTTGCAATGGCAAGCCTTCGATCCTTGCGCGTTCGAGACTGGAGGGCGGACATGGGTCTTCCTGTTTTGGGTCCATCAAATTCAGCAGCGGTCAGTGCAAATGGGGCTGACAAAGGAGTAGCAATTCTTTTAGACTCTGGCTTGCCATTGCTGCATCTGAAGGGGGCACAATGTGATGTACGTCCTTGCAAAGTGCGATTTTGTCGAGATTGGGGCAGCGACGTGGCGCCCCCGCGGGCGCTACACGCTTTTGAATCTGAGCCTTCGGCGGCTCAAGAACCTGTGGTTTGTGAAAAGTTCAGTCGGCATGACCTTGGCCATGTGGTGGCTACGGATCGGATTGCTTGGCGCTGCTCTTGCCCTGCGTACGGAGCAGGGGATACAGTGGCACAGCAACACCCGATAAAGCATTGAGAAGGGTGAAGAGTGCGACTGCCACCATCGGAAGACGCCAAACACGTGCTGCAGTACCTTCACTTTACACAGCAGATGTTTGATTGCCACGGTTTCCTATACAAGCTGATACGGCGATCAATTCTGTTCAAAATATTTGCCTTTTGGAGGCTTCTTTTGGCTTTTGATGCTTCCCTTGAATCAATCTGTTCTGCCTCGGCAGAATCCAGGTGCAGGGTTGACCTGTAGCAGGGACAGCAAGACCTGCAAGCCCTTAATCCACCAGCCTTGTGAGAGGACCGACTGTCCAGAAGTGTGAGGGTCGCTCGGAGTGATGTTTCCCAGATGGGTGTTTCTCACATTTATGTACCCTCACTTGATTGCCTTTGAAATTTGCAACCCACAATTACACCCAGACACGCCAAGCCATCAGCTGTTAAAGGCCAGTGTCGATGTCGGTGTGCTTTTCAATCCTTGCCTTGCTGGCAGGATTTGGGTTGGCACTGAGTGCTTCCTCTACGACAAATCAGGAGGCATCCATTGCTACGAGGGCCGCTGCTGCGTTGCTTCCGTGCCAATGTTTGCGAACGATCAGGAGCTGGAACAGCCTTCTAGCTGCAAATTGGCACTTCCACATGCCACCGCTGTGCATGCGTGCCACGCCATGTAGCAGGCACCTGCTGGCGCAGACTTGAGATCAGTTCAGGTATTCGCCTTTTGGTGGCGACGCCGGAACATGCTGTTCTGGCAAGACCAAGTACTTTGGCAACGTCGTCGCAGGAGGAAGGCGAGGCTGTGTCAAGAGCAAAGAGGCACAATGGGACAAGGTCTTGGAAAGAGATGAGTGGTCGTGTTTAGCACAGCTGTTTTCGTGTTTGCGTCTTGTTACACGTGTTTGTCCTTGTTGGTGATTTAAGCGTGTGTTTTTATGACTATGTCGGAAAGCAACCATGTGCTTTCGGCTTTGCTGTCCAGGACTGGTTACTTCTGCGAGTGATATCTCTCTCCTGTGAGCGAGCCTGTTCAACGAGGCTACAGAGGTGAAAAAGCTGATCTTTGTGATTGCCAAAGTTACTTTAGCGATTTCTTCTGGGCACCGTCAAACAGTTGCATTGCGCTTACCCTTGACATGTGATTGCCGAAAGCAGGCCTTTGGAGGTGCCGGTCCGCGCAAATCTGAAGATTCCCGCAGCTTTGCAGCTTTGCAGCTCAGGCAAAGAGGAGGCAGAAGCGTTGCAGTCATTGAGCCGTTTGAGTCATAGGTGTTTGTTCCTTTCACATGGCGAGAAAACTGGCGCTCGGCTTGCTGGGCCTGGCTGTGTGTGGCGGCCCAGACCGATGGTTCGGGCATGCAAATGTTGGTTATCAAACTGAGCCGGATCCCTTTTTTGGTTCATGGGCAACCAAAATGTATCGGAGGTCGAGTAAATATGTAAATGGCAGCGCCAGGCCTTGGATGGTTTTTCAGTGCCTGGCCAGATTGCCAATGCCCTCACTGGCGACGTACCTACGTGAGAGCTCCCAATGGCCTGCTTGGCAAGATTGATGGTCGCGTGGCCTAGATTGGGTGACCCCAAAGAGGGGTCTCAGGGCTAGGTTTCCCTTTGAGTGACCCACTAAAAAGGGGATATCGTATTTTCCCTGAAATGCGAAGTTCTTCTCTGAAATGCGCACGAATCTGGTAAAGACCGGCAACCTCTCGCAGGTGGCAGATCTCTTCCATCAGCTTTCTGACGCCAGGAGAAGCCTCAGAGCCGCGCCACCTAAGCCGGCGACAACTTGTTTGGTTTCAAGGGATATCCAGTTAATACCCAAGAAATGCTTACACACATTTGGTGGGATCAACGGAGGTTTTGGGCGCTCGGTTGAGCATTGCCAGTGCTCAGTGGAGAGGTCAACTGTTGTTTTGACAGCTGATATTAGGACTGTGCTATGTTGGTTGCGTACACAGACGTTTTGAGCGCAGGGCTACCATGGACACATTGGAGGATTCTTGGCTCAATAGCTTGCCATACATGTTAACGTACTTGGATGGAAGAATCCTGCAGCAGTTGGTAGGTGGTTTATCCCGCATCCATGGCACCAACAACTGTTTGTGTTTTCTCCAAAGGCTTGGTTGCCGCTTCTTGGAAAGACTTCCACGGATGCGCGCCTAATCTATTCCAATTAAAGACATGACAGGGGTCTTATGCGAGAGGCAGCCCACAGATGTCCTTTCCAAAAAGGAGACGGGAGGCGAGATTTGCATGTGGCCGCACACCCCTGATATCCTGTTCAGCCCATTGCGCATGGCACCGGCTCAAGACGTGCAGAAGCACGCAACATGGAGATGAACCTCGGCGACCGCACACATCGGATTCATGGTTGGTAGTATCGCCTCAGAAAAAATGTACGTAGCTCGGAGTCCGTAAAGTAAAGAGCAAAGCATTTGCAGACAGGCCCAGGAGCAAACGTCCTTGCGATCGCCACAACAAGTCACAGCGTCAGACGACAATGAGGGTGTAGTCGTAGGACCGGAATTCTTGCATGCGCTGCTCATCTTTTCCACCGGCACTGCTGACAGGCGGGACAGCGCAGAATTTTGTGAGCCGATGACAAGCGGTGCCACTGATTTCCAGAGACCAGATTTTGCCGCAGACAGCTGGCTATCCGGCGAGTGGGCAGGCTCTCCACAGAGACAATGCGTGGCCCTCAGATCAGAGAGCAAACAATTGCTTGTTAGTAGCACACTTGGTTGCATTGTTTCTGGAGTTTGGTCCACCAATATGTGGCTTTCTGCTTGCATCTGCTTGCATCTGCTTGCCAGCTGTGGGCATGAGTTGGGTTGCATTGAAAACAACGGCGTAGGTGACTCAAGAGAAAGAGTGGCCCGTGATGGCTTGGAAGAACTGGCAGCATGCCCCTGCCAAGCCCTTGAGCACATGCCAAGCACCTGGCAACCGGCGTATTCGCCTCTTTTCGAGGGAGCTGGTTGTTTGAACAGTGAGACCAGTTTGAAAGCCCTGAGAGACAAACCCAAACGCCGCGAGTTCCTCCCAACATGCCGTGAGTGGTTCAAGGACTCGCTTGCTTCAGCCGAGGCCACGAATAAGTGGCGTCGTGGCGAGGCATGAGCTACCAGACTTGTGATCCCTCGGAAGGAATCCACGCCAACTACATGGATAGTTTCCAAAATCTGGGAGTGGACGCCCAGAGTTCCAAAACTGGGAGTGATGGCTGATGATGGCTGTCGGCCTGGTGGAATCCCACAGGCGCCCACAGGAATTGTACGAGAACCGATATTGGCGATTGGGGAAGCAGCGAAACCAATCGACACCTTTGATCACCTTCGGTTGGCTGCAAGCAACAAGCTAGTCACAGCGCTGCCGATTTCATGGAACCTCCCTTGAAAACTGGCAAGTCATCTCGCAAAATTAGGAACGCCTCCAAGCGTTTGGTTTCCTTCCGGCTTCCCTTGAAACTCACCAAAAACGGGGGTTCCGAGTCACCCCCGTTGATTCCTAAAAAATCAAGGCAGGAGATCCATCCTTCGGGAATCTCTGTGCGCAGGTTTCAGCAGCGCCAGAAAGAGCTGCCTGAATGCATGGGAGGCTTCACCGGCTTAACCCTCGCGCACGTGGCTCCATTTTTGAAATGCCAAAGGATCCAACGGCAAAGGGATCCTGTTGGGGTTGAAAGGATGCAAACATGATACCCCAAGCATTTGGGGGCTTCTCCGTTTTGACGCACGCCGCACCATCTGTTTTGGCTGAGGCAGAAAGATCAGGACGACCAGCCAAAGCGTGAATCCCAGGTGAGCGTTGGGAAGAATTCAAGCTCGCCGCACGAGTATGTCTCACAAAAGCGGATTACTTTTTTGGGATGGCTTGAAGGGACCAGAAGGAAACCAAACACGTGGAGCAGGACGCCGCCTGATTAACATTTTTTGGGGAGCTTCGCGAAGTTTGATCCCATTTTGCTGTTCCCGTGCCTCAAACCCAGGGCTTCCCCTTCTAAGCAGAGAAAACTTTCGGGAGTAGCTCGGGGGAGCCGAGAAATGGCCATGGGTCAAAATCCAAATCGTACCCCCAGTGAACATCCCAATCCCCACTAAAACAGACTAAAATGGGTGGTGCACCTACCCCAAAATGGTATCATTGGTTTTGGCCCACAACCAAATGGAACCCTGGAGAAGCCACTTCCTGTTTCGGGGCGCGCTGAGGTTGCTCATCGTCCCCTGCAGCCGCCATGACATGAAGCGCTCGCATGCGGCGCGCCAAGTGGGGAAGTGCCCGACGCATCAAGGGAACTGCCAAGCTGGCAAGCTAGCCGAAAAACTGGTTTGCGTCGAAATAGGAGACCCCAAACCTGGTGGTTCGGTTTTTTGTATCCCGTTTAGATCTAAACCAAACTCCAGGGTTACCCTCAAAGAAAACACATGAGTCCCCTGAGCCAACGCGGTGCCTTTGTTGTTGCAAAGCGAGCCGGACACCGTTTTGGCCGTGTTCCCACAGCTACGATGAAACCAACCATTTAGAGGGATCCACCAAATGGTTCACGTATGGAAAAGTATAATCATATAAACATGTATATAGCTGTATACATATATATATATAGAGAGAGAGATCATAACAACAAATTTCTCTCTATGCATGTCTGTATATATATATATTACATATGCTGCCCCCCCCCCCCTCAAAACCCAGGTTTTGAACCTGGACAATTGCCAAAATCACTGGGAAAATGATACTTTTGAGACACATGTGTATTTTCGCCTGTGCGAAGCGATTATTTTTCAAGTTCAATCAGAAAATGTTGGCAAGGCAAGTCAGCTAATTATTCAGTTAAATAGTTGTAATGAATTAGCTCTAAGGCCAGCTAGCTAGTTAACTGGCTAGTCAGGTAGTTGGACCACCGCCCACAGCCGCCCGTGGGACAAACTCCATTTTTTGGTGTTTTTGTGTTTGAACTCCATGGTTTCCGTGTTTTGTTGTGCTTTCTTGCTTTTTTGGTGTGGTAAGGGGGGGGTGGGGGGGGAATGATTACGTCACTTCTTTGAGTTTGCTTGACAAGACCTTCTTTATTTCCTGTTTCTGTGGGGTGTGTGGTGTTCTTTGCTGTCTTGTTTTGCTGTAGCTTCTTGTGCCCAAGCCATGGTGTCAGAAGACGTTCGTCTAGCGTTTGCCTTCATCATCTTACTGCGTTTGACTGGCGTCTCGCATTGCTTCTCCACACACTCGGTGCTGGGTCCTTTCTTCCCTGTCTGGCTGCATTACTTGGACTCTCTTCCCCTCCGTCGGTTTTTGAAAAGAGAGTTCATCATGCGGTTCACAGGCAACATGCGGCCTTGAACATGCCAGTGTGTTGCCTGCAACCGAAAAACCGGCAAAGATTTTGGGGGAATTTACCTTTGGGTGAAGTACAGATTAAGGACCCCTTCCCCCCGTCGGCTTTTGAAAAGAGAGTTCATCATGCGGTTCCCAGGCAACATGCAGTAGTTGGGGGCTGGAAAATTGAGCTTCTGAAAGCAGCGTGCCAGTGGGATTTGGGAACGCAATAAATTCCCCACTGTCTCGGCGCATTTTACATGAGGGACAGACGGGGCTCTCCTTTCCCCCCTGTAATCGCAGCTTCAACAGGTTGCTCCGAAGCCAAAAAACGCACGATATTACACGGGCTACTATGGGCGGTGTACCTAGTTATCTATTTAGCTGCCGAGTTACTTAGATAATACTGAAGGTATTCCTCTTCCTTTACTAGCGAAATATGGGGGAAACACTAGGGGGGTAGTGAGGAAACACTAGGGGTATACCCTCAAGCTCAATCTGTTTGACTTCTCCCAAGGGAAAACTAAAGGTGAATACTGAGAGAATACTAGGGGTATACCAAGAGAGTACTTAAGGAATACCAGGGCAATACTAAAGGTGTTCCCCTAGTAATTCCATCCCTTTGTTAGTGGAAATAGCAAGGGAATACTATGGGGTAGTGAGGAAATACCAGGGTTTACCGAGAGACTACTAAATTAACTGAACACCAGGCGCAATAATAGGGGAATACTAGGGCAATCATAGGGCAATACTAAGGAAATACTCAGGGAATACCAGGGGAATACTAAAGGTGAATACTGGAAGAATTCTAGGAGAATACTGAGAGAATACTAGGGGTATACCAAGAGAACGCTTAAGGAATACAAGGGCAAGACTAAAGGTATTCCCCTAGTAATTCCACCCCTTTGCTAGTGGAAATAGCAAGGGAATACTATGGGGTAGTGAGGAGACCGAGAGACTACTAAATTAACTGAATACTAGGGGCAATAATAATGGAATACTAGGGCAATCATAGGGCAATACTAAGGAAATACTCAGGGAATACCAGGGGAATACTAAAGGTGAATATTGGAAGAATTCTAGGAGAATACTGAGAGAATACTAGGGGTATACCAAGAGAGTACTTAAGGATACCAGGGCAATACTAAAGGTATCCCCCTAGTAATTCCATCCCTTTACTAGGGAAAAAGCAAGGGAATACTAGGGGGTAGTGAAATACTAGGGTATAGCGAGAGACTACTAAACTATCTGAATACTAGGGGCAATAATAGCGGAATACTAGGGCAATCGTAGGGCAATACGCAGGAACTACTCAGGGAATACCAGGGGAATACTAAAGGTGAATATTGGAAGAATTCTAGGAGAATACTGAGAGAATACGGGGTATACCAAGAGGACTTAAGCATACCAGGGCAATACTAAAGGTATTCCCTTCCATGTGGAAATAGCAAGGGAATACTATGGGGTAGTGAGGAAATACCAGGGTTTACCGAGAGACTACTAAATTAACTGAATACTAGAGGCAATAATAGCGGAATACTAGGGCAATCATAGGGCAATACTAAGGAAATACTCAGGGAATACCAGGGGAATACTAAAGGTGAATATTGGAAGAATTCTAGGAGAATACTGAGAGAATACTAGGGGTATACCAAGAGAATACTTAAGGAATACCAGGGCAATACTAAAGGTATTCCCCTAGTAATTCCATCCCTTTGCTAGTGGAAATACCAAGGAAATACTAGGGGGTAGTGAGGAAATACTAGGGTATACCGAGAGACTACTAAATTAAGTGAATACTAGGGGCAATAATAGGGGAATACTATGGCAATCATAGGGCAATACTAAGGAACTACTCAGGGAATACCAGGGGAATACTAAAGGTGAATATTGGAAGAATTCTAGGAGAATACTGAGAGAATACTAGGGGTATACCAAGAGAATACTTAAGGAATACCAGGGCAATACTAAAGGTATTCCCCTAGTAATTCCATCCCTTTGCTAGTGGAAACAGCAAGGGAATACTATGGGGTAGTGAGGAAATACAAGGGTTTACCGAGAGACTTCTAAATTAACTGAATACTAGGGGCAATAATAGCGGAATACTAGGGCAATCAATCGTAGGGCAATACTAAGGAACTACTCAGGGAATACCAGAGGAACACTAAAGGTGAATACTGGAAGAATTCTAGGAGAATACTGAGAGAATACTAGGGGTATACCAAGAGGACTTAAGGATACCAGGGCAATACTAAAGGTATTCCCTTAGTAATTCCATCCCTTTGCTAGTGGAGATAGCAAGGGAACACTATGGGGTAGTGAAATACTAGGGTATAGCGAGAGACGATTAAATTAACTGAATACTAGGGGCAATAATAGCGGAATACTAGGGCAAGCATAGGGCAATACTAAGCAGGGCAACACCAAAAATATCCACCTACTAATTCCATCCCTTTGCTAGTGGAAATAGCAAGGGAATACTATGGGGTAGTAAGGAAATACTAGGGTATACCGAGAGACTACTAAATTAATTGAATACTAGGGGCAATAATAGCGGAATACTGGGGCAACCAGAGGGCAATACTAAGGAAATACTCAAGGAATACCAGGGGAATACTAAAGGTGAATACTGGAGAATTCTAGGAGAATACTGAGAGAATACTAGGGGTAATTCCATCCCTTTGTTAGTGGAAATGGGGTAGTAAGGAAATACTAGGGTATACCGACAGAGTATCAATTTAATTGAATACCAGGGGCAATAATAAGGGAATACTAGGGCAATCATAGGGCAATACAAAGGAAGTACTCAGGGAATACCAGGGCAAATTCCATCCCTTTGTTAGTGGAAATAGCAGGGGAATACTATGGGGTAGTGAGGAAATACCAGGGTTTACCGAGAGACTACTAAATTAATTGAATACTAGGCGCAAGAATAGGGGAATACTAGGGCAATCATAGGGCAATACTAAGGAAATACTCAGGGAATACCAGGGCAATACTAAAGGCGAATACTGGAAGAATTCTAGGAGAATACTGAGAGAATACTAGGGGTATACCAAGATAATACTTAAGGAATACCAGGGCAATACTAAAGGTATCCCCCTAGTAATTCCATCCCTTTGCTAGTGGAAACGGCAAGGGAATACTATGAAGTAGTGAGGAAATACTACGGTATACCGAGAGACGACTAAATTAACTGAATACTAGAGGCAATAATAGCGGAATACTAGGGCAATCATAGGGCAATACTAAGGAACTACTCAGGGAATACCAGGGGAATACTAAAGGTGAATACTGGAAGAATTCTAGGAGAATACTGAGAGAATACTAGGGGTATACCAAGAGAATACTTAAGGAATACCAGGGCAATACTAAAGGTATTCCCCTAGTAATTCCATCCCTTTGCTAGTGGAAATACCAAGGAAATACTAGGGGGTAGTGAGGAAATACTAGGGTATACCGAGAGACTACTAAATTAATTGAATACTAGGGGCAATAATAGGGGAATACTATGGCAACCAGAGGGCAATACTAAGGAAATATTCAGGGAATTCCAGGGGAATACTAAAGGTGAATATTGGAAGAGTTCTAGGAGAATACTGAGAGAATACTAGGGGTATACCAAGAGAATACTTAAGGAATACCAGGGCAATACTAAAGGTATCCCCCTAGTAATTCCATCCCTTTACTAGGGGAAAAGGCAAGGGAATACTAGGGGGTAGTGAGGAAATACTAGGGGTATACTAAGAGACCACTAAATTAACTGAATAGTAGGGCAACATAAGGGCAATACCAGGGCAATCATAGGGCAATACTAAGGAAATACTCAGGGAATACTAGGGGAATACTCAAGGTGCATGCTGAAAGAATTCTAGGCGAATACTGAGGAATTACTAGGGGTATACCAAGATGATATTTAAGGAATACCAGGGCAATACTAAAGGTATTTCCCTAGTATTCCCTTTTTTTTTTACTAGGAAATACTCGGGGCATACTAAAGGAGCATACTAGGAGAATGCTACGGGAATGCTGAGGGAATACAAGGGGAAAACTTTAAGCCTTGCCTGTAGCAGTAACTCTTTACCACCAATTTACGTCAAATTTCACCCCAATTGTGTGGGTTATTTACCACCAATGTTGTCCAATTTTGTTGGTTATTTACCTCCAATTTTGTTGGTTATTTACCCCTAATTTTGTCGGTAATTGACCCCCAATTTTGTGGGTTATTTGCTCACAATTTTGTCCAATTTGTTGGTCATTTACCCCCAATTTTGTTGGTTATTTACCCCCAATTTTGTCGGTAATTTACCCCAAATTGTGTGGGTTATTTACCATTTGCCCCCAATTTTGTGGTTATTAACCCCCAATTTTGGAAATTTGGTGGTTAATAACGAGTCCAATAATTGGGGGGTAAATCTTCGTATACCGTTGGGAAACCTGGGATTTACCCCCAATTTTTGGACTCGTTATTAACCCCCAAATTTCCAAAATTGGGGGTTAATAACGAGTCCCAAACTTGGGATAAATTGCCACAAAATTGGGGGTAAATTACCAACAAAATTGGGGGTAAATTACCAACAAAATTGGGGGTAAATAACCCACACAATTGGACCCACACAATTGGGGGTAAATTACCGACAAAATTGGTGGCAAATAACCAACAAAATTGGACACAATTTGGGGTAAGTAACCCACAAAATTGGGGGTGAACGTTCCGCAAAATTAGAGTAAATGTTGCCGAGTCGGAAAGCCTGTGCAGCCCCTCCTTGCCCGCGTAAAGAAGGCATGCAATTTATTGATAGAGGCAAGTCCTAAGGTATACTCTCAAGCTCAATTTGTCTGACTTCTCAGTCTTCCTGGCAAGGGCACTACGGCAATACTAGGGGAATACTCAGAAAATTACCAGGGGAGCAACAAAGGCGAATACTAGGGGAGAACTGAAAAAACTGAAAAACAACTGAACAACTGAAAAAAAACAACTGACAACTTAAGCATTCAGGGGGACATCGGGCCCCCCCCAGAATCCTTAGTTTTTTACTTGTTTCAGTTTTTTTCAGAAGGTTCAGTTTCCAAAGCGCTTCCTTGAAGAGATGCCCTTGCGCAATTATAGTGCTTGGTTGCAGCATTGGCTGCCAAATGGGGGGCTTCTGGCAGGTGCAGACAGTGGGCCTGAAAAGTGTGTGTTGTGGCAGATGCAGGTTTTGGTGACAACGCACTTGAAATACCAGTGTTGTCTCACAAAGCCTGTTTTGTTTCTTCATCTTTTTTTTGGATTTATATATATCTATATACACGATATATCTATATATACATATACGCATGCGTGCATGTGTATAAGTGTCAAAGCCAAGAGCATTTAAACATTGGTTATTTGATGAGAAAACGAATGCAACACAGGCCCCTAGAGTCGCGCAACGCAAACGTCTGACGTTTGTGTCGAGGCTCCGTTCCTCTTGACGGAGAAGCTGCGGGACCGCTTCGAGAAAGATGTGCTTGGAACTTGGATCTCCCCCAAAAAGGCTTGAGTTGGAGCCGAATGCGAGTGGAATTTCGTTTAGACGAGGTACCTCGGAGTTTATGTTTACAATTAGACGATTCAGCCCGACCCAGATTTATGTATCAAATATCTTTTGGGCCTGCGGCCTCTAGCCGGCTTACACCTCTTTGAGCCATAATCATTTTATTGCGTGTGTGAAACGTATCCTATGCCATGATATGTCTGGCTAGAGTAAGCGTTTTGCCCGCTCCACCCATCAACATATCCCAGATCATGCTGGGATGCCAGCTTCCTGAGCCCTAACAGGGCCCCCAACCGAGTCAAATCACACGGGGTCGCGCGAACGACCAGCCGAAGAAGAACAGCTCGCAAGCCACGACCGCGCAAAGCCGCGTAGAAAGAGCGCGCAATTGGAAATCGAAGAAAACCGCACGCCGCCGGACAACTGCTTTCTTCGCCTTAGAGATTACGTCGTCGGACGGAGCTGCGTGTCTCGACTTGGAAGAAAAAACTTTAAAAGTAGCCTTTTGCGACACAAACTTTAATAATAGGGAAAGTCCGAGCTGGAAAGTTGAGCCGCGCAATGCCTGGCGAGAAGCGGCTTTAGAAGCAACCCCAACGGCTCAGCCACGATTTCAGGCGGTTGGAAGCAGAAAGCCACGGCAGGGCCAAGGAAAAACGCCCGGCGGCCCGGCGTGCTGCAAGGCCCAGAAACAAAGTGTGGAAAAAGCAAGGGCCGCGCAGCGCACGAGCCAGCCACAGCAGAAGCAAAACAAACAGAACATCAGCCCAACGCGCAGCGTAGCATTTCTTGACAGTCTTTGCGGCGGCTATGTGGCTGCACCCCTGTGCCGCCGACCCTCATCACTTGAAGACTTGGTCGTGAGGCATCGCCTAAATCCGGCACCTCTGCATCACCAGCCCGAGCTTGCGGTTTTGCTTGCCTGTGACCCTCACAAAACATCGCGTATATGCAGGGTTTAGGCCGTGTGGCTGAAATCATCAGTGTCTGGAGTTGGGACTGGTTGATGCTTTAGCGGGGTGGTCTGCATCATCAAGACTTCCGCCCAGAAAGCGTCGGCAACCCATGAGACACTGGTTTTTCGAGGGTACTGAAGGGATATAAGCAAGTCTCATTTTCGCGCATTTTGGGGCCACGCGCTGCCGGGAATGCCGGCGATGCTCCTTGCCCTAGCTGAAGCCAGGAGGAGGCGTGACCCTCCAGCCCAGATCATGATGACGATGATGATGGATGATGATGACGATGATGATGATGATGATGCTGATGATGATGATGATCATGATGATGGAGGATGGACGATGGACGATGGATGATGGATGATAGATGCTGGATGATGAATGATGACGAGCAATGATGGCAATGTTGATGATCATCACGATGATGACAATGATGTCAACAATTGTAAACGCTTCGCGCCAGCCTCGGCCAGTCCGCTTTTGGCTGGCTCTGAGGCATGCGCCGTTCTTTAGTTTGCCTTGAAGTCTGTTGTTTGAGCGAGCTGGCTTCCAAGCAGGGGGCGCGGGGGGATTGGATTGGTTTCTGGGCTTGGCCGGTTGTTAACGGGAGTTTGACCGGTATCCAAGTTTGACCGGCTTTGAGAGGGGCGCTTTCTAGATGGATTTGGCTGGATGGGACGTTGACCGGTTTCTAGGGGTGATGTGATCGGTTTCTTGACCGGTTTATGGGGTATTTAGACGGGTTTGACCACTTTCTAGAGGGGAATTTGACCGGTTTCTGGAGGGTTTGACCGGAGTTGGTTTGCTGGTTTGTGAGGCGGGGGCAAGATCCCTTTCTCAAAGTTTCCAGGCTCGCTTCAGGCGTGCTGGAGGCAGCTGGAGCAGGTTTTGGCTAAGATCCCGGCAAACATTTGTGTTGGGTTGGCACCAACAAGGCGCTGGCTATGATGATGCTGATGATGGTAATGATGATGATGAAGGATGATGATGGTGATGCTGATGATGATGATGATGATGATGCCCAACATGATAATCATCGCTACGCGCCCCAAGAATCTCCAGCATCATCATCCTCATCATCAACATCATCATCATCATACTACTCATCATCGTTATCATCATCATGGCGCTCATCATCATGATCATCATCGTCATCCTTGTATTTTTGATGTACGTTTCAGGTGTGCTGTTAGACCTGGCTTGAGCTGCAAAGGATGCGCAGTCATGATCATCATCGTCGCCCTTATCTTTTGATAAACGTTTACGTGTGTGGATAGAGGCGAAAGATGCAAAGGATGCGTATCATCATCACCATCACCGATGTTGGGGATGAGCCGTGATCATCACCATCACCATCATCATCCTCATCATCATCCATCATCATCATGATCGTCATCATCATCATCATGCCAAGTCATAATTCATCATCATCACCGTTGTTGTATTTATCTTATTGAGATACGTTTCAAGTATCCCGGACGACTTGAGATGCAGGGCTGTGCATGCCCAGTGTCACCAGAAGTCATGATGATAATCATGGCTACGCACCCCCAGCATCACCTTTGAAAGACGAGACAAGCTACTGGCATGATCTTCCTCGTTTGATAATCACCATGATAATGATCAGGAAGATAATAATGATGATAATGAACACCATGCTGATGACAAAACATGATGATGATGCTGACGGTGCCTACCGTGAGGTCTAAAATCTATGCAGCATCACCAACGCGTGTATCAAAAAGACAAGGACAACGAGATAAGCTACTGGCAGGACCAACCTAGTTTGATGATCACCATGATGGTGGTCACGAGGATGAAGATGAGCATGATGATGATGCTGATGATGATGATGAATCTTCGGTTCTGCGCTTGTGTGCCAGCCACCCTTCCCGTGCGCCTCGCCTCTTTGGCGAGGGATCGGCGGACATAGTTTCCCCCACCCAACTGCGCCCCTCCACCCCCATTTGCCCCACTGAATTCCATTTTAAGTGCTCAGGTTTCTTTGTGTGGTTGTTATGATAAACCGAAGAACCATTTTGGGCCAAAGAGGAAACATAGACGATGTCCGATAGGCATGGTGAAGGCGAAGCTCATTGTGTGTACCTGCGCCACCACTCTACGTGCTGGTGCATGAACGAAAGATGCCGATTGTCCAAGCTTGCTACGGCTTTGAGGGCTCCATTCTCCTCACCTCTCAACATCTAGCAGTGTCTTTCCGCTTGCCAGGATTGGTTGCGAAATTGGCTCAACCATCGATCTTTCAGTTGCCACGGCTCTACTGATATCCATTTGACGGCTGTTTGTTTACGTGTGTTTTGCAAGGCAACCGGTTTGGTCCGTGGGCGTCGGCATGCTGAGGGGGTGTTTTCTTTTGGTTTTCCTTGACATTTCAGCGGGGATTTCCCCTGCATTGTGGACAGACCACTCCTGCACCAGTTGGGATGGATGAAGCCCTATGAATACCTGGATAAACCAGCTGCTGTGGATGGACAAAATCATACACCTCTTGGTAGGTTGACCCCAAGTGTTCCAGTTGGGTTTCATCCATCCCAACTGGGTGCAGGAATTTGTCCATCCGCAGTGTCGCCTCGAGGCTCATTCAAGTGGTGAGCCAAGCGCAGCCACAGCTGCGGCTTTTCCTGCGCTGCCAGCCCAAGGCGGGCCCTCAGGTTCTGCAGATGGATATTGATGGAACCCAAGAACCCCTCCTGACGAGGAATGCCGGATGAATGACCCCAGAAACATTTGCCGAAATCGTCGGTTTCTGTTTGGGGTCAGCCAGAGGAAGATCCGGAAGTTGAACAAGAGACCTTGACTGATGATGCCTTTTGGTAGTACTTGGATGTTGTCTACCATGGCTCAATCAATGGAAGACGTGTTGCCCATGTTTCGATCAAGGAAGCTGCAACCAGGACTTCAGTGTCGGTGTGCGTGTTGTGCTGAGTACGGAACACTTGCATGCCCATCCATGGAGTAGGGTGTGCGACAATCCTCTCCCATGCAAATTAGTCTTGACTTGCATCCCACAGGGTGCCAGACGTTTGGCCAAACTTATTGGAGAGCTTTGTAGGCCAAAGGAGTTTCCCAAACGGGTGTGCCAAAAATAGGCGCAGGGCTCCAGTTGAAACCCCGTCTTTGGCACCTCCCTTCTCTCAACACTGGTGGATGGGTCGTGGTTTGACAGGTTTTCCTGAAGACCCTGGATGGCATCAGCATTATGGATGAGATCACCCAGTCCGCGCCGCTGGCAATTTGCCTTCACAGTGTGAAGCACGAAGGAAACTAGCCTGTGATCCATGGATCGCGGTTGCGACGTAAGCCTTTGGCCAGGCCAAGATTGTCGACAAGCAGGCCTCGCGACCTCGGGCGCAGATTGGCATGCGCCGGAGAGCCAGAACCAAGCACCAAGCAGTGAACACTAAGCGCTCGAGAATCGTTAGCGAACTTGCCATTGCTTGCTGACTGTTATCTCGAGGCCAAGCGACTGTGTGGCGATGGCTTTGCAAGATAGACTATAGCCATCCAAACATGTCTTTTAGGAGGTGTCAGGGGAAAGCGCGGGAGTGCGATGAGACATGATGAGACAATTCCTGCCAGAACGCAGAAACAAGTGGAGTCCCTTTGCAGGACTGCGTTCGGGTTCAACCGTTTCCTCAAACAACCTCAATGTGAAATTTGGGCCCAGGAAACGAATCCTCTGAGCATTTGACCAGAGGTTGGCGTTTTCTCTCGACACCCCGAAGCAGCCAAGAAGCAAAGAGATGCAAGCGTACCACTTTGGGGGTGGGTTTCTCTGCACACTTGTGCCAATAGAAAACCGGCCAAGAAAGGCAAGCACCAACCGGGCCCTAAATGGGTTGGGCAATCGTAGCTGGAACCCGTCTATCGGGACCCGTTCAGACCAAAGGAGATGTCATGCAGATTTCCTTTTGCACCCTGTGCAGGTGGAGCTGCGAGTGGCCGACAAGGTGGAGGCATGGTAGAGGAAGTCGGTATCAAGTCCTACGTGGTGAAACGAAAACGAGAGATCAGATTGACCAAATCCAGAGCGACATCATGTTGTTGCAAACCAGCTTTTGGATGGCGAAAAATAAAGCTACAAGGAGGCGAACCGTTTCTAGAGTCCCATCCCACATTTGATATATTCCGAACTATACAGGCGTTCGGATGTTATAAGGTATTCCTTGGAATATCTTGGAATGGGTTTCTCAGAGACATTTAGTATGTTTCTTCGATGGGGTTGTGGCTCAAGTGCCTTTTTGGGGACACTGACGACATGTTGTGCCGTCCGAGGGCGATTTCAGAAAGGGTTGTACTCTTGAAGCCGTTTGGAACCTCAGGACGAGGCCAGAAAGCGACGTTTCTTGGCCCCTTCTCCTTTGGGATGGTCTCAAAACGAGTCGGACCCCTCCAGGCGTTCCGATGTCCTTTGTTGTGTTCCTTTCAAACCCTCCGGAGCGGGGTTCTGACGTCTACGCTGCACCTAAACCCTTCTCCAAAGGCTGTTGACTCCACATTACTCTTAACATCCAAACGCAGGAGTTCAGTTTGTAAGCACTAGCGCCACGTCGTACCTGCATCTTATAGTTGTTGCGTTGACGACTATTGCAGCATGTATACGTTGTCAGCAAGCGGAAGTATCAATGCAAGCGTTGAACAACTATGTGACCACTGCATGACTAGAAGCATCACGCGCAGAACACCTAGTTTATCGATCAGTAGAAAACTGATTTCTTTTTCGCAGTCTGTGCCAGATCGGTATTTAATGGCATTGACCTGCCAGCAAACACACACACACAGACACACACCTAAAACGGTACAGTTTCCATGTGGTTTCCCTTTCATACTATCCAAAAGGGGGGGATGTCCGGATGTCCTTCCAAAGTTGACCTGTTGTTTTGCTCTTCCATGGATTCCTTAGGTTCACCGAAAGGTCTTTCAATCGGAACGTTGAACCTTGACGTCGCATGCTCCAGGCGCGACTAGCGGAGGTGGTGGTGTTGGTCTTCGAGCGCTACTTGTCGAAGCGGGACATTTGGCACCTCCACGCGGCGATGATGCAGGACATGGCTCTTTAGGTGTGTTTGTTTTGGTTCGAGAAACCAAACGGAGAATCGCACCGATTGTGGGGTGACGCAGGACATGTTTTGCGGACCGGAATCGCGGGCGATTCCGTTTTTTTCCTTGAGACGGGGATAGATCCAGCTGTATTTCCCCTTGTGGGTGGAAACATGCATCGCCTTTTGGAGCAAGTTGAAGTTACACGAGGTTCTTTGGGTGTGCCCGTTGCAAGGCACTGAAAGGATCTGGTTAAAACCCTTCAGGGTCCGGTTATAGTTCCCAAAAAGTATTGTTTGAACAAATGGCTTTTGGACCGACAATTTTGAAGTAAGTCTGCTTTGGGAGGGGTGATGTTTAAAGGGGCAATGATTTGGAAGCCCAACATCTTATGGCTTTCTTTCAGGATCATGGAATCCTCAACCCATGCCAAACCTCCATCGGGCAGACATGGATGCGGGACGACCCGGGGCTCGAATCCTTTGATTCGGATTGCGGCTGCCGAACAGATTTAGCTGAAACCAGAGGCAAGTTTTCTAAAATTGGGTGAACTCCTAGAATTGGCTCAGCATTGTTTAAGCCGACATGAGCAGCCCAAGAGGAAGCGCAAATGTTTAAAACTTGTTTGAAAGAGCACATGTTTTGGCGACCTGTCACACTCCCAAACGAACAGGCTTGCCAGCTTGGACCATTTCCTGAGGGAGGGCCAGTTTTTCAACACCCTCAGCACAACCCTAAACAAGCCTAAACCCACTCTAAACCAGAAAGACACCAACCTCAAACCCGCCCTTAAACCAACCCCAAACAGACCCTAGGCAAACCTGTACTATATAATTATATAACCTAAAACCCACCCTAAACCACCTCCAAACCACCCCCACCAGCACTAAGCAAATCCCAAACCAACCGTAAACCCCCACCAAACCCAGCGTAAACCACAGCAAAACCCGTAAACCAATCCTAAACCCACCCCAAACCAACCTTTGACCGACCCTAAACAACTCTAAACCAACCCCAAACTCACCCTAAACAAACTCTGAGCACAACCCTAAACGCGCCCTAAACAAAGCCTAAACTCCCCACTAAACCATCAGCTAAACCAACCAAACCGAACTGAACCCACCTAGACAAACCCGAAACCAACCGACAAACCCGCCCTCGAGAAGTTCTAAACCTACCCACACTTGCCCCAAATAAGCTCTAAACCCAACCTGAAACAACCATAAATCAGCATAAGGTTTTATCCCAACGTCCCACATGCTGTGAAACACAGCATTCTAGCACCCGGAGGAAACAACAGAAAACACATGGCTAAACAAGCATGATTCCAGAATTTGTGTTTCTGTTGGGGGACGGTCGTTGATGGCTTCGGGGTCATACATTGGCCACTACCTGACACGCGAACTATATGGGACCATCCTTGGTTTCATGTTCTCCTTTATGGTTGGAAGAGAATCATTAAAAGGGGGCCCGTGGTGAATACCCCCTAATGAATATCCACCCCTCACGGTCGACAAGGTCCTGGAAGCCCGCTTCAGAGGGCTTTCTGCCTGCCCCTTGCCCGGGTTTGGTCTGCCCTCTCACCGTCTGAACCATACTTGCAGGACTGCGTTTGCTTCTTCAGTGCAGGGGCCCATGATTAGACGTGTCTCATTCACCCATAGGGTCTGGGTGGGTGAGCCGCAGGACGGCGGGCAGATCTTGTACGCCAACTTTGACTACGTGCCGCCCAGCAGCAGCTTCAGATCGGCTTCTGCCCCTGAAAGTGTTTTGAAAGGCCGAAGATATCAGCAATCACCTTACCAGTGCATACTCTCTACTGGACAAAGGAAACAAGTACGTAACGCATCTGGGAGGACAAGAAAGGGGTGCCGAACACACACAAAATCAGGGTTCAAAACCACGTCGCATTGCGATTGAAGGAGGGGTTGTCATACAGGCCCCCGTGTGAGGGAAATATGTGGCGGCGTATCGATCACGTAAGCTACCCCTGTTCTCGAAGCTCGCTGAAGCACCTCGACGTAAGGTTTTCTGGCGTCTGAGATTTGAGCAGGACGTGTTGAAATCCGCTCAATTGTTCAAACGATGTTTGCCCAGAACTCATTTGGCGTCGATTGAGATGGAGACACCTTTTGGTCGCTATAGCAGGAAGCCAGATATTTGGAGGGGTCCCCAACGTCAGGAATCGCTCGAATACCCATGTTTAGACAGTAGAAGGATTTGATCAGCATTCTACTTGCAGATGCATCGCTGAGAGTCTGGCTGTCTTTCAAAGCAGAGAGATGCATGTTGTCGCGTTCAGGGCACGGAAGGTTTTGGCAAAGGCCTTTACACTTGCAGATACCCTTCAACATACCTCAGCAGAATCAACACCGTGTGGCCAAATCACCGAATGTAGGCAGCCAGGCCTGTCCATGTGCGCCCTGCTTGGTGCAGATCGCTTTGGGAATGTCTCAGGCTTTGGGATCCTGGACACTTTCGGACCAGAATGGGAATTATTTTATCCTAACAAGGTAAACCCCACTTTGGAAGACCTTCAATGTCCCGAGCTTTTTCGGGCCCTCAAAAGCAGCTGTTTTCAAAGGCGGGGTTTGGTGGTCCAAAAATGTCCACCCCTCAGAGAGTCTGCCAGTTGGGATGGATGAAGGCCTACTAGGAACCACCTACCCGGTGTGGAGTGTGTCCAGCCCACCAGGTCTCCGATCTGGTTCTATAGCAGTGGATTCCGTGGCTGTGTTTTTTATTGAAACTCCCTTGCGGTTATTTTTCGAAGTCCACAGCTTGTTTTGTTTTCTTCTGCAAATACAAAGGTTCCCAAGGGTGAACCCAAAGGGAATCCACTGAAACCCACTTCTTGCGGGGTTTAAAGAAAACTAGGGGCGCAATTCGGAGCGAATCAAAGGCTGCGGCAGCTGGTGCCCAACAGCCAGATCGACCGCCTCATCGCGGCGGGGAAGTCGGTGCACTCGGGGCTGGTGGATTCCGCCACCGAGGCGCGCGAGGACCCACCCCAGCCCCCAGCCCTCAGCCCCCAGCCCCCCACCCGCCCAGGAAAGGGAAGGTATGGAAGCAGTTTGCAACATCCACCGGGAAGGTTTGAGTTGTCCGCCCTGTGTTCCAGGGTGTTTGATTTGTTTCCCTGTTCTGATGTTCCACCAGTTTGCTCGGAAAGGGAATGGAAGGCTCTTGAGCCAAGGCAATGTGCACTCGCGAGCTCACAGATCTGGGGTAAAGCAAGTGACAACCCAAGCACCTGGATGATTCATAGAAAGTGCAGATGTATGGAAGTATTATTTTCATCTTGTTCAGGGCAAATGATAGAATGGGAAACCCCCCCTCGGCAAACCCCCAATCCAAATCACCAAACAAGCGCAGACCCCAGGGCTCAGGCAAGTCCGAGCGAGCAAAAAGCGGGGAGGGAACGGCAGCTAGCGACTCCACGCCAAGATTTGCGCGAATGGACGTCAGGTGTCCTTCAAGTCTGCCACCGCGAATATGGTGGTCCTTGTGCAGATCAGCTCTGAGCTCTTCGAGTTCGGTTTGTCGGGAAGACCCTATTGGGAGGCCGGTTGTACGTTGCAACTGGACATCAGAGCTGAGTTGAGGCTCAGAGGCTCAGGAAGCTCAACCTGTTCTTGGTACAGCCATGTCAAGGTTTTCCACCGGAGATATGGCGTGATCCTGTTTCAAGAAGTGTGACCACATCGACTCCTTTGGTTCCATCGGCAGAAACCTTCTGCGTGTTGATCCAGTGCGCCGGAGGCCTTAATCGAATGCTTCCAGACGCTGGTGGACAAGTCTTTGAGGGTGACCAGGGGCAGTGGGCGGCATGGCTTAAAGTCAGATCTCAGTTCGTTGGATGCGGCATTTCCATAGCATTTGCTCGAGCTCAGGCACTATATCCGCATGATGATGTTCACCCGGGTTAGAGGACTTCGCTTGAACCGCTTTGTGGCAAGCCCGTGCATCTCGCCCCTTGTCATTCTCATTCCGGCTTTGCTTGGAGCTGCACAATTGCCGGGGTCTGCTCTGCTTGCCAGGAGTCAAGCTGGGGCCAAACTTCAAGGTGGACCAGGACACCTACGCCACTCAGCTACAACTGGTGGCTCCTAGAGATTCTAGAGCAGGTCACAGGGTCAAACTTGAGACTATATGTGGGGTTTAGACATGCATCCCATTGTACTTTGGTCTTGGTACAGTTTTTGTGGTCATCTGGTTGAATTCGCCAGATGTAAATTCCGGGTCCCCTTGCTTTGCTGTGGCAGTGCGGGTCTGAGGCCAAGCCCAAGGAATCTCCGACGGATGTCGAGGCACGCATGCATTTCCAACCCCTTTGAGTCTCTTGTATCCATGAGGTTCTTTGGTAAATATACTCTTCCTGGTGCGGGATGTATGTTACTCCTGGAACATTGAATGCCATGAGAAAAAATGGGAACGAAGCAATGTCAGCTATTTTGACATGTTTTGGCTGACCCCACGAGGCCGAAGTTCGGTCAACATCTCCACAGATGTTGGTCACGTTTGGGATGCACATGGGGGACTTGGTCAAGCAACTTGGGTCTCTCCAATTTTCTCATGCTCATGACGTGAGCAGCGTATGGGCGCGTCTTTTGGTAGACAAGCCGTTTGGAAGTTCTGAAAGGGGAAGAAGACCAGATCCTCAAATTGTCAAAGGCTGGGTCCATTCTGAGCACTGCCCCGTCCCAGAGCTAAAGACGACGCCAGGACTTCTGCGATGTCTTCTGGGAAGGCTTCGCTCGAGTGATGCCCAGCGCCCCTGTACTCGCAGCAAGGAGAGGGAGCTGGATGGAAATGGCACGGCGTTTTTGCGGGTATATTTGGAGAGCTCGAGGGGTAATTTGGAGATTCAAATGGTTCCCATGTCCGGCGTTCAACCCAACTGGGGCCAAGAGGGATGTAAACCTCAAGGGAATCTGGGCCTAGGTTGCAAATCCGACATGGTTACCAAGCTGCTTTCCAGCTCTGTCCTGGTTGATTACTCGAGGGGCGCAACCAAGTTTACAGGGCATCCACCTTACTTTTGGGGGAACCCCGGCTAATAGTCCGCCAGGCTGATTAATTTGGAGTCAACATCACCAGGATTGCTACAGGCATCGGGTCTGTGAGCGGGGGCGCGACACCCTCTCCAGGATCCGACGAGTCTGCATGCGATTGCACGAGGACGGGAGGAATCATCTGATGCACTTGGCAAAAGAGTTTGAAAAAGGGTACCGTGCCTGCAACAGCTTGACACTTGGGTCTTTTTTGGCTTCAAGCCCCAAGAAAATGATCCCAAAAACAAGGCAACGCGTCTAGTTTTAGGAGTCCCTCGTTTGCTTTACATGCCGACATCCAGCAAAACAGAAGGTCTTCGTGAATGAAAGGGGAGGGTTTTGAGAGCCAAGACGTGAGGACTTACAGTCCCGATCCCCACTTGACCACCAAATCCCCGCTCATTTGGCCAAACATGGAAACCAGACCTTCGTGTCACAGGGTTGCCCCGTTGTCAGCGACAAGCAAGCCTAGTTTGGATTGGTTTGGGCCCCCACCCTATTGAAAGACAGCCCATGCCACCGAAACGGAGATTCAGCAGGTACCCCTGTCTTGCTCCCTCAGTTTCCGGACTAGCTTTTCGTGAAGGCCATGAAGGCAATTTCAGACATGTCCAACGAATTCGAGGAGAAGCATGGGAGGGTGGACCCTGGGAGCCAAGCCTGGTGCAGCGCCCTGAGGGGACCAGCCAGATTCTGGTTGATGTGTCTCATGTCAAGCCAAATCGGCGGACGCTGTTTTGGGATGGTGATCTTGGTGAAGCAAATCTTGGACACGCGGGACCACTTCAAACGGGTTTTCCGTTTGATTGAAAACCACGGACCTCCATTCGAGTGTCAAGTCAGTTTCAATAGGTGTTCATGTTGATTCTGGTTTCGAGCATTGCTTTAAAGGGGTCCAGCCCATATAAAGAGAGTTTGTTTTTGGCATGGTCAACATGCACATGTAGGCCTTGTTGGGGCGGTTTCCCCCGATCATTGAGAAGGGATCAAAAGCCGAAAAGTGTGTAAAGAGCCCCCGATGAATTGCGCTTTGATGCTGGCGTCCTTTGCAAATGGTCCAAAGAAGTCGGACTAATACGTCTTGCCGTATTGACGCATCAAGCTGATTCGAGGTCCACTGGCATGCTTGAACTCGGGATGGGGGTAACGAATCAGAGGTCATTCGCCTTCCTGATTGACATGTGAGGGCCTTCCACCAAAATTCCGAGGCGAAATCGGAGAATCCCATGGGCTCATGCGCAGGCGTAAGGTGCCCATTACGCCCATTGGGCAAGAAGCTCCCATTCGGCAAATTGTTGGTGGAGAATTTCAAAACAGCCGCGATCTAATTACGTACAAGGTGCGAGAAGCACACAGTTCGGACTTCTTGGACCCGATTGATGGAAGGGAATTTCATTCGGTGCTGTGGCACTGAACGAGCCTTTGGAGTGGTGCCTTGGGCCACCATTCCGAGGCGACGATGAGTGGAGCTGCTCGGTTGCAGGACGTTGGCAAAAAGTCCCGGGCCAGTCTTATGTTTTAACTTCGGAATCCGCTCCGACCCGATACGAGTTCTAATAGATGATTTCCAGCATGTATCCTGACAGCATCGGGACGCATCCGCATGCAATGTCCATTAGACGCATGTGCACAAGTTATGACGAATCTTGAAAACTTGCATCACACACTGGAACCTATTTGTTAGAACCCCCGCTTGTTATTGCAAAGCCCCTAATGCGTAATTATTTAAGGGCTGCCGCCCTGTGCCGCCGGCCCCTGCTTGCTGACAGTGCACGTTGTTATGACAATTATGACAATTAACAGCACACTTAAGGCATATATGAGAAAGAAGAGCAGCACGACAAGGATGATGTTTTTAATGATGCATTTTGTTTACCCAACATAAGGGATGCTGATAATTATTACCATGCATTCGCATTATCGCCAGCAGTTATGATGATAATTGTTACTTTGCATTGTTAGCATCACCAGCAGTTGTTCTGATAATTATGACGACGCATTCCCTGCATCTCAAACAAGCCACTGCGGGATAAATTCGCCTGACAATAAGCACCTTGTTGAATTTTACAAGAAGTGCCCCGGGTGCGTGGAAACTCGGGCAGCGACACCATGTTGGGGGCCTTTTTTTCTTCTCGAGACTTCGATGTATTGCTGTGGATGCGAAGTGTGGACTTTGTGCCATCGCTTCGTCTTCGCGAGAAGTAAGCCGTTAGGAACACCTCGGGATGCAATCAGATGGTGATGGTGATGATGATCATGATGATGATGAACTATGCACCCCCGGCAACACCAGCAGCTATTACGACAATCATGACTACGCATCCCCTGCATCTCAAGTCAGGTCTAACCGCACACTTGAAATGTATGTGAAAAAGAAGAGCTTGATGATGAACATGATGAGGAACATGATGATGAAAATGATGATGAACATGATCATCGTCATCATCATGTTCATCATCATGTTCATCCTGATCTGATGATAATCATCACTACGCATCCTCAGCATCACCAGCAGTGAACGTCTATGCATCCCCAGCATGAGCAGCAGTTATCATGACAATCATGACAACGCATCCTCTGCATTTCCAGTCGTGTCTTTCGGCACAGTTGAAACATATATCAAAAAAGAACACCGCCAAGGTTTTGATGATGAACATGATGAGGAACATGATGATGCAAATGCTGATGATGAACACGATGATGATGAAGATGATGATGATGATGATGAACATGCTGATGATGATGATGAACATGATGAACATGATGTTGATGATGAACACCACCATCATCACTTTCATCATCATGTCCATCATCATGATTTTCATCTTCTTTTTCCTATACGTTTCAAGTGTGCCGTTAGACCCGACTGGAAATACAGAGGATGCGTAGTGATGATTATCATCATCATTTTCATCACTTGAAACGTAGATGATCATTGATGAACATGATGATGAATCCCCAACATCAGCAGCAATTATCATGACAATCATGACAACACATCCTCTGCATTTCCAGCCGGGTCTAACGGCACACGTGAAACGTATGAAAAAGAAGAGCGCCACGGTAATGATGATGATCCGGATGATGTGAAGTGATGATAATCATCACTAAGACAAGGACACAGACTAACCCTTCCCATGCGCCTTCCCTTTGGAGAAAGGGGTCGGCGGATTTTAAGATAGGTCCTAATAGGTAGTGCTGTGCAAAAGGGGGGCTGTTGGTTGTTGTCGGTTTCAAACTAAGCGCGAGGCACAATCAGCATGTCGGCAAGCCTTTGTTTCGGGTGGAATTGGCCGTGACCATGTTTTGTTTTTGCCAGCTTTATTTATCCTTGTTTCACCTGACTTCGCAGAAAGCCAGCATCGGATGGGCAACCGGCAGCGCTTCAAGTCTCAGGCGGCTTGCCTGCCCACGGCATTGTGGAGGCAGCCAGAGGCCTGGTTGTCGGAACCTGGAGACAGGACTGTGACGGAGTGTGTAAATCAAAGCAGGGGAGGGATTAAACTTTTGAAAACCTAGAGGCAACGAAAAATCCACTTTCAGGGCGTTCTACTTGAAGTATCTCCTTTAAGCGTTTGCGGACGGCCTTTGGTCGTGTGCAGGCAACATCCTGGAGAGCCTCAACTTGGTGCTGGACGTGTTCGATCGGCACTACCTGGACTGGGGCCGACCGCTGAACGGATCACATATGGACACAGGCACATATATATATATAAATAGTGTAAACGTAATATACACATATACCTACATAAATAAATACATATACATATATATATATATATATACATATGTGATATGCATACATATGTTGTGTGTGTAGGTGTATATATATATATATATATATATCTATATAACATACATATATGTACATATTCCCATATTACACAAGAATGCACATTGTATATACACATAAGCTAGAGGGGCATCACCGTTTCTCCGGAAAGGTATTTCTTCAGACCACATGGGGGCACAGTCAACCGTTACAGGGGGCATTTCACATACTGCTTGTGTAAGCCTCGTTTCAGCCCTGCCATGAAACACCGCTGCGCGCAAGCCGATTGTGTGCGCACGCAAGCCGCGCCTAAGCGTTGGCGCAAGCAACTTGTTGCAGAGGAAGCTATCGGGCTTGCTTCGCTGATTCCGCTGACAAGCTTGCGTGAAGATGTATTTTCAGATTCCTGGTCAGGTTCTTTTCTGCGAGGCGCTTGGGTTGGCAAGCGGCCGTTTGGCCAAGCCCAAAAGAAACCTCTGTCAACAGGTGACTCAGGACTCAGGTGACCCAGTGGCCCTAGGACCGGATGCTGCGGTCCACTGGCCAGGCGATGGTCCTGCTCTCCGCAGGCGGTTTGCACTCCTTGTGCCAAAGGTTTGAGACGGGAGACGTACTCGCTCTGGGAGTTTACCAGAGGGCGTCCATGTATTCAAAGTTGCTCGAAGCATGAAAAGCAGTGAGGCACTGAAACCACTCCAGAAAAGAGGTATAGAGGTAATTGCGACGGAATCTCCTGGTTATGCTCGTGCAGGTCTAAAATATATTACATATGTAATATGTGAAATGCTATGGTGTCCTTGGATCTTGGTTGGATACGGTGTGCGCATTGCACCAAGGTGCCCGACCAAAAAAAACAGTTTCTGCTTCGGTCAGATTTGGCCCCAGACAAATTTAATGTGAGGCTGCCTTAAATTCAAGTGTGCCAAGCCATGGGCGATGAAAAAGAAGCCAGGCAACGGGCTGATCGAGTCGCCTTCCAGGCCAGGGCACGGGACCGCCCAGAAAGCACGGGCGTTTCTCGCGCATCAGACGCTATCCCAAGGGATCGCAATTGATTTTTTGAAGCACAGATTCTGCCAAATGCGAATGTTGGAGGACCAGCTTTTGCGTTGGTAGAGGAAGGATTATTCCAGGTAGAAAGTGCATCATGAGCTATGGTGATGCACGGGAGTCTTCCAAACTTTGCTTATTGATAGACCATGGTTATACAAATGTGTGTCTCCTGAAACATGGTTCCAAGTTCGAGCTGCTTCTCGCCACTCGCAGGCGCAGTGGCTTTGGGTCTTTTGCTTGCGCCGTCAGGGACCTCTATGAGCTCACTCACCGGCGCTTCGCGATCACGCGGCCTATGACGTGCCAGTTCGCAGCTTTGACGAAAACCGGCTGGACGGTGTCCGAAATTGGGGCCGCTCGGGGCGGGTCCCGCGGTCCCGCTTTGCAGGCACTGGAGTTGGTCGGAGCGCCAAAAAGGCCAGAAGGCCCGGGGGACCATTTCGGGCCAGAACAGCATGCACTTGCTAAACATCCGTTCGATTCATTCGATCGGGTTCGGGCCGCTGCAAGGTATGCACTCGAGGTCCACCAATGTGCCTTGGCGTGAAGAGATTTGGGGAAAGATGGTGGCATGCACCATTGAACCTAGCAGATGGGGCAACCATCTTTTGAAGAGACATGGTGATTTAATATGGTAGCGACAAGTCAAGATCCCCATCCGCATTGCTCATGTCGTTTCTAGTCTCTTTTGCCAAAGATGCCTGGAAGTAGGATCGCGGTTGAGTACGATTGCTGCTGACAATGCAATGTGCTGAACAAAGAAGCAAACCATCCTGTGATTCTGCATGGGATGTTGGGACCAAAGGTGTAGGTGAGTTATAGAAGCAGTGTTCCATTCACGATGTTTCTCATGCCACAGGCTGCGTGCCAAAGACATCCAGCATCATCCAGCACTCACTGCACAGCCACCCAAATGCCAAACTGTCGGGTTGGAATCAGCCACAGGGAGAAGAGAGTTGGTCACTCGCCGTTTCCTGCCCACGTCATTGTCAATTCCAAAATTCCAAAGATTTGACGCCTAGAAGGCGACGCAACTCATTGTAATCCTTGATCCCAAAGGGCTCACTGTTAAACAATTCGTACCAGAAAGAATATGCTTGGAAGCCCATTTTGTATTGGGGTTGCGGTATGTTGCAGCACCTGCTCTGGTGGTTTGGCCCTGAGACATGTGCATAGGAGTCTCCTCTCGTCCAAGAGGGTTCCACGGATGAGTCATCCGGATGAGTTGTTGTTTTTCTCATAGGGCTGGTTTTTCCTTATAGGTCTGGTTCCCTGGCTGGCTGGTTGCTTGGTTGGTTGGTCGGTCGGTCGGTTGATTGGTTGGCGGACTTGAACCTAGGGCCTCAAATTGCCTATTGCCTCTTATTCGGTCAGTTGGGAGTTACGCGTTGCTAATTTAATTGGGGGTGGTTTGAGGCTGGCTTAGATCTTACGGTTGCTTCAGGGTGTGGTTCAGAGAGGATTGGTTTTGGAGCGTTGCCCCAAACCCCCAAACCCCCAAAACTGGCGCAAAGCTCACATACCCACCCAAGCAAACCTAACGCCACCGCTAAACAAGCAGCACACCCAACACAAACCGGCTCCAAGGCAAAAACCTTAACACCACCCAAGAGCAGCCGGACGCCAGCCCTTTGCTGAGCCTAAATGAACCCCAAACCAACCCAAGACCCACCCTCAGAAAAGAGCCTGAAACGCCGGTGACGCCGGTGAAGCTGGGGATGCGAAGAACCAGCAGTAGAAAATCACCAGCCCTAAGCAAAGAAAACACGTCTACCGGTTTCCACTACCCTCAAACTACTATCCCCAAAACAAACTTAGGTATACAGCCGCTATGTACATAGGTACGTAATGTTTCAGCATCCCTTCTTTCGAAGGGGGAGTGAAGCCCTCTTGTTTTTTGTTCTTTTGCACCCCTTCTGGGGTGCACAGGGCTGACTACATTTCTCCTGTTGCTGCTCAAAGGGCATCACTGATTGTGTTCTCATTGAAAGGTAGTTTCTTCTGGGATGTTTAAAGGGCAACTTGGAACCCGGGTTCAGCACGTGATGTCTTCCGGAACAACATGAAGCCCCAGATAGGCCCTGAACTGGTCATTCAATGAAGGCGTCCGTCCAAGCCTGGTCGAATCGAATTTGTCGCCATTCGCAGGCATCCAGTTCCATGGGTGGCCGCCCCGGTGTCCAAAGGGCAGGCGAGAGCCCTCTCGTCTTCGGTGAAGTTGTTTCTTCTTCAATGTACCAGGGTCCCTCTGAATCGACTGCATCTTTGTTGAATTGATTTGAAACATTCATTCCTTAAGAGAGTTCGGAAAATGATTTCAACAGTTTGGCGGAGCATTGCCACAAGGAATTCGCCGCGAATCCGCATGAACGTGATATGGGGGATTCTCAACAATTCCCATCAATTCCCACAAAGGCAACAACATACATTGAATCAATTGAACGTGGCTCACATGGAATCTTGGATCCTTAAGGACATGGCAGACCTTTGGGGGCAGGTAGCTGCTTTGGTTTCGCAGTGGCGTTGCCCCCAAACCACTCAGAGGAAGCTGAAGAATCTCCACGTACCATGCGGAGAGAGAGGGAGAGAAGCACTATGTAGATGTCTCGTGAGATGTAGTGTCGGTATTAGTATATGCAAGAATAGTCGTGATTGTAGGAAAAGAGCAGTTTCCTTTTGAAGGTACCGAGTGTCAGGTGCCCTGTTAGACCTACCTAAGGGGACCCCCCAGTTGGATAAAATCCCCTCAACCGACCAATTCACATAATATGTTTTCATCATTTCATAACAGAACCTCAACTCAAGATTTGATACATAAATGTTGCAAATATTTTTCTAAATTTTCAAAAATATTATTTTACAAAATTATCATTTTTCCGAAGAAATATAAATCATAAATTTTACAATATTCTTATTGTAAAGTTCATGGTTAAAATTTAAATCATATTATTTCATAATTTGAATAATTGCAGAATTCCTCACGGAATATGCTGAAATGAAATAATTTTCCAGAAAGGGTAATTCACCTACAATTTGAAAAACTTTGTCCTTCACTTCCTCCATTTCCTTTTTGACCCCTGGTGCCACTGGAGGTTTTGAATTTTCAATTTCATTAGGTTTTTCTTCCTCAACTGTTGTTTTTACTTTATTCTCATTCTCAATATGCTTCTGTGTTTTCAAATGCTTGGATATTGCAGATTTCCTCACTTTACACTGGCAAATATCACATTCTATTTCAATCTGATTACGCACTTTATTATATTCCTTTTTCTTTTCCTTCCTATCAATTTTACTTTGTTCTCGGCAGTAATCACAAATATGCACTCTAACATTAAATAGGTCAGGTGGATAAGTGTTTTCGCATCGCCTACATTTTTGCATTTTGTCAGTCATCTCCATGCTACTATTGATAGGTGGCATGTCTTTAAGACCAGACCATCTTAAAAATCCCAAATTCCCAAAATATATTTTTCCAAAATCCCAAAATATAAAATCCCATAATTTCCCAACATAAATCTTACAATGTTTTTTATTGTAAGGTTTATGGGTTAAAATAATAGTCAGGCAATATTAATGGAGGAGGAAATGACCTGCCCACCATTTGGGAAGCACCCTGCCCACCATTTGGGAAGCACCCTGCTTGCCTGCCCACCATTTGGGAAGCACCCTGCCCACCATTTGGGAAGCACCCTGCCCACCATTTGGGAAGCACCCTGCCCACCATTTGGGAAGCGCCCTGCCCACCATTTGGGAAGCACCCTGACCGACATTTTGGGAAGTTTCAACAACAATCCCAAACTCGTTTCCTTAATCCACCAAACTCGTCAAAATCTCTCAAATCAATTCAGCAGGTATTTTGTATAAATCTTCCTGTTTATGTATTACATAATTATCCCCAGAACCACTGCCTGAAAATAATTCTAATAAATTCATATTATTAGAATTATTTAGATATTTATTATATTAATTCGTATTTTCCTTCTTCGTTCTTAAACAGTTTATAAAATTCAATAGTTTCTGTTTTTGGAGATTTAATTTTGTTCTTATTTAACATATCCATATATTGCTTTTGCTTATCTTGAAAACTGCCAGACGGCCTTCCTATTTGTTTCTTTTCAAATATTTTATCAATCTTTTCCTTCTCTTCATTGCTATCTTTTGGTTCGTTTGCCTTTGCATCAAGTTTCTGGTCAATAGTTTTTATCATCTCGTACAACAGTTTAACATTTTTACTAACTGTCATTATTTTCTTTGATAGTTCAACAATACCATCATTCTCAACTTCAGACATTTCTATATATATTTATTTATATAATTATTTATTTAAATATATATTTATTTATAAGATTGATTTAATGTAAAATCTACTCTTTAAGTACTAAATTTTCATCATTTGTTTAATAGTTTCCTGTGTTTCGTTTTCATTATTATCGGATGGTGTTGCTTGCCTACCAAATTTAATAGTTATATTATGAACATCAGTTTCTAAGTTGATACTGTCTTTAGTTTTATCAATATTCATTTTCTTATCATTTTTACTTATTTTGAAACTTGTTGGAATACATGAACATTTACAATTTCCTTTCTTTTGTATTTCTATTTCATGTTTCATTTCTAACATCTTTTTACACATAGGACACTCAAACTCGGTTAGTGCTGTTTCTTTAACAATTTCTTCTTTTTCTTCATCTGTTGAAGAAACACTTAAACCTGTCTTATTCTTTTTGTTTTTCTTTTTTCCCATTTATATTAATATTTACATTTTTATCTTTGATATATTGTATTCCTAATTTTATTAATTCTAATGAATAAAAACAGCATTTTTTAATTTTATTGTCAGTTATTATCACTTGTTCTATATTATCTACTTCATCTATTATATTAATATAATCTGTATAACTCCTTTTCATATTAAATAATAAGATAAATTATTTTTTCATTTCTGTCTTTCTTTTCCTTGTACAACTTGATGGAACTTGATAAGTTCTTTCAAGTTCTAGAACTCTAGGAAAATGGTTCTTTTTCCTAGAGTTGTACAGTTTTTTCATTGTATCGTCTTTATTCCATCTATATTCCACAAATTTATGATGATGTTTTGAATTTAGATGTTTAAATAAATATTTGTCATCATAAGTTTTACCACAACTGCAATGGATAATAGTCATATAAATAATAAGATAAATTATTCTAATTGATCTTATTATTTCATGCATAATAGAATATTGGTGGGGCACAGCACTTGGGGTTTTCATTGCACACGCGAGCAAGACACAAAACTAATTATCTTCAATGCTTATTGATTGAAGCAATGGAAAACCTGTTCCATTTTTTCATTGATATTTGCCGTCATCATATCATGAAAAAACGATGTTCCATTTAATATTAATTATAAATAATTTTCTAAATATCTTTAATATTATTTTATTATGCCTGATGTAAAACCAGTTGACGAAATCAAATATGACTTTAAGCAAAGCAAGCACGAGGTCGTCCCTAAATTGCCGATGAGAGCTATGATTGTGGGCCCGGCAGGCTCTGGAAAATCGACGCTACTTGTATCAATGATACTTGATATTTATAGAGGTGCATTTGAAAGAATTTTTATCTGGTCACCATCAGTAAATTTAGATAGTATTTGGTTGCCTGTTAAAAAATACATTAAGGAAGGTTTGAAAGTAGATAATGATAAAGAACCGTGTTGGTGGGATGAGTTCAATGTTGAAGATTTAGAAAGAGTTATAGAAACTCAAAATAAAATAATTGAATACCAGAAAAAACAAGGAACGAAGAAATTATTTAATATTTTGGTAATTTTGGATGATGTATCTGATAATCCAGCAATAACAAGAAATAACAAATTGTTAAATTCTTTATTTTGTAGAGGTCGCCATAGTGGAATATCAACACTTGTCAGTCTTCAAAAATCATCAACTGTGCCACCAATTATTAGAGTAAATATAAGTCATTTGTTTTATTATAAAGTTAGAAACTACAAAGAGATAGAAATATTACAAGATGAATTATCAGCAATTGTTAGAAGTGATAATTTACTAGAAAGCAAGAAACTAATTTATAAAATATATGAGACTGCAACTGATGAACCGCATAGCTTTTTATATATTAACCTTCTCCAAAAAGACCCTAACCGTATCTTTATGAAAAACTTTTCACAATATTTGAAAATAACTAATCAATAACATTAAATATTTTTTTAATGTTATTAATTTAGAATAATGACCAGTTGCATAAATCTACTTTTGGAATAGCATAACGAAACTTTGTTTGTTTTTCTTTTTCTAACTTTTCTATTCTCGTTACACATTCTTGAATAGATTTAATGATTAAAGTATCTGCTCTTGTTTTTTCATCTACTCTTAAATTATTAATGTCTTCCATACTGTTATTTTCATCGTTTTTACTTTGACCAATACCCATTATATATTATTATTTAGATTTTTATTATTTAGATTATAATACAATAATACATATTCAAAGGAATTAAAATGGGCCATAACAATCCCCAAGCAATAGGAGTTAATATTTTACCATATCTATCTATATTTCTGTCAAATCTTTCTTGTCTTCTTTCTTTTTTTAATTCTTTAATATATTCATCAAATTTAGAATGACTAAAATTATATTCTTTATTATTACATTTATCTAATGTAAATTCATCTTTATTTAACTTAGTAATTATGCAACCACAATAGCATATTTTTTCTCTCATACTACTATTTTGAAATAATGCTTTTATTTTAACTTTCCTGTCAATGTCCATATATCTATATATATATTAATTAATTATTTATTTATTTATATATTTATATTTAATTATTTATTTAGATTTTTCTTTTTTCAATTCCTTAATTTCTTTTTCAAGTTTATCTACTTTATCATTTCATTCTAATACTGCTTTATGAACTAGCACGGGTAAAACTAAATAATTTAATCCTAAATACTCTCTGTCTTTGCTAACAACATTTTCAATTTCTTTAGGAATTGCTTTTAATACTTCATCTGCTATATATCCTATATGAGTTTTACCGTTATCATTTCTATCGTGTCTCTTAAACTTCTTCGGTTTAAATTTCTTAATAATATTCATACAATTAGATTTGACATTGTCTATATCATATTTCAATCTTGAATCAGATGAATCAACAA